TATAAGTGCTGGAATGTTATGCCATTATGGGGCCTTTGTTTTCCGAGCTAAACAGGCCAGGGCTACCCCCTGTGATTTTATGTACAGTAATTGGTGCCAATTGATTTAGACCGGTTTCTTGTGTAGTCCCAAAGGAAAATATAGTCATACTAAAGTATGTAAAATGTGAAAGAAGCATCACAACTGAAAATGTGAGCTGCAGAATATATTGATCGTGTGTGTTTTCATTCATAAATCTCACCTCAATGAATATGATACATATGTACAATGTTAAGGTACTTATAACATCACTTTCGGCAAGCGACTTTCACAAAATGGCGTGTTCAATGATACGGGATATTAGAAAAGGGATTTTCGTTGATTCAAGCAATAGTCCATTGCATTATATTCACTCTTTTTTCGTTAAAAAATTGGAGATTTGTTTCTGTGGGGTTTTTTTTACACTACTTAGGCTTTATTTTCTACAAAAAACAATGTTTCAAATTTTCGCTTTCTCTTGAAGTGAACAAAACCTTACCATAGTTGGCACCCTGAAGTTCCTTCCCAGTTATGGAAGCATAGTTAGTTGTAGGAGATTACTGCTGATATGAGTTGTGCCCCTTTGTAACCCTGTCCTACATGTTTGTATGAAGTCAAAGTGACAGTTTGATTTGAAGACAAGTTTGTGTCAGAAGGACTGTACCCAGAGGATATCAAGCATGTCTTGAAGGTCAGCATAACAATATTTTTAAGTGTTGACACATCTCTCTATATATTTGGATTGAAATACTTTTAAAAATAGGACATCAATTAAATCTACTACATCAGACCACTTGCCTCCTCAGCATTGTTTCGACTATTTAGATGCATTTGTGATTTCCTGTGGCATTTGGTAGTAAATTGATTGACATTTTCATTGTATTTGACATGTTTTCATATAGATAGAATGTTACATATCTGCCGAAATAACTGACAAACACAGAGTGTTTGGTCTTAGTGCTTCTATGCACATAATCTATACTTGATGTGTATTTTATGTGTTCTTAAAGGTATTCTGGCTATATTATATATCAAGCATATTTATTCAGTCCACATCTCTGGCAATATATAATATATTAATATAATGCAGGAATCATTGTTTGGGTCGTAAGAATCCTCCCTAAAAGGGCTGCTAATGTGTTACGATGCAGTCGCAGATGATACTTTCATTACAACAAACAATAACAGTGTTCTTAAAGGGTCCTGTGGTAACAAAATTACAAATATTTAACCTTTGCAAATTGGTTTTTAGTTTAATTTACTTAAATATTGTTATTGTATACTTTAATGATTACAATTTATATTTTTGTAATGTTTTTGTACTGATTGTGATTATTTGCTACAGAACTCCTATAAGAGTTTTGGCTTGCAATTGATTATAATGTGGTGATTTGACTATAATTGCTTCACATTTTTCTTGAATTCTGCAACTTTTTAAAGGAGGTTTGCAAGATGATTATTTTAGAATAACTAATTCATTTTGATCTATATAAAAAATAAATGAATTATATTTTTATTTTCAGGTGAGGCAGAACCATCATGACAACATGTGCATATTCTGTCAAAATGCTACCGGTGAGGAAATCAAACTCCCTCTTGTATCACAACCAAGCTTGGAATCTTATGATCACACTCCTGATGGGAAGAAGAGAGAGGAACATGGAACTGTGACTGCGGTCTACCAGAAGGCTATAGTCTCAGGAGAACTGATACCACAACCCCTTGACATTGAGGAAGGCTAAAATCGTACAGTTGCTCCCAATCATACAAAGCTGATCCCCCCCTTCAGAAAACCAGACTTGAAAACTACGCACTAGTGCATCCACGCACTAGTGCATGCTCAAGGCGCTGGTATATTTTCCCTCGATCGTTGGACGTCAATCTCAACGGCACATCGTATTGTCAATCTCAACTCCCTGGGAATCATACAACTTGCAGTGGACTGTGGCCCAAGTACTTAGCAGATATGCATGTACTGAGGTCAAAGGGTCCATACACATGGAATGACCTGGCTCCTGGAAATATCTGTCTCAAAGAAGCGTGTCCCTTTTTTTCCATTGGAGCTAATCATGCATGTGAACAACTCAACAGACTAATGAAGGTACACTCTGGTCTCGCTCGTTGGCATATCACGTAATGGAAATGCTATACAGCGTTCTTTTTTGGCAGCACCTGAGTAGTCAGGCCTAGCAAACGAGTTCAAAAGTCAGTTTCTTTTTGAAGCAGCTGAAGTCAAGGAGCATCATGACGCAAGAATATGTCGCAGAAAGGATTAATGGAATAGTCTACCTCCAGTGAAGAAGGAAAATAACAAGTTCTAGATTTCTGAGAGCAAGAAACAAACAGTGAAACTTAGAAACAAAGGTTGTGGACCTGAAAGGAACAAAGGACTTGTATGGACGGCTGATGATTTTAGCCAGATCAAGTAGCGATATTGATCTGAAACGTGACACCAAAAGCATTCTTTTCCATGGATGGCATGTTGTTGCAATGTACAGACAAGTCGAAACTCATCAGCTGTCTTGAGGAACTGGGTAAAACTCAAGTTATTAGTGATCAATGGCCCCTCAACTTGACCAAAGTGACTGTACAGTGCGTAGGACTGCTGTAGTTGACGGTTCTTCTTCAGAAGATGACACAGTTGCCTCCTACAGTTATACCACCGTTACACCGAGCTTGCGAATCCACTGCGACCGATTTGTGCCTCTCGGTCGCATTCACTCCCACACACTCGCACTGAGATCGTCGTTTGGTCTTAGGATGCTCGCCATACTCGCCGAAACGATCTCCCTCATTCGCACTCGCTCGCCATCAGTCGCAGTGGGTTCTGCGAGTGTATGAAACGCAGAGGGTTCTGCGAGTGTATGAAACGGTATTTCTTTTGCAAGCATATGACTGAAAGTGACAGGCTCTCTCCAACACTTGGTGCCTTGAGACAGCACATTCACAAAGTTCAGATGCAGGCTCAAGTTCCTGTTTTCAAACAAGTCTCCTTTGACCCAATGAGATACAGGTTTTATAAGGATTAGGATGCCAAGCTTAGGCAAGTCACCACAGATGTTCTTGCAGCTGCCCAGGCTATTCTTGAGATAGTTCGATGCCAGTGCAAGACAGATTGTTCAACTCAACGATGTACATGCAAACCAAAAGACTTACTATGTACTGAATGTCAATGCAGTAATCAATGTGAGAATGACGAGTCTCAAGTGGAGGAAACAGTTCCTTTATATAAATGATGAGTGTGAATAGTTGTGGAAAGACCTCTCCTTTCGTTATTAATTACAACTTTTCGATTGGAGAATGATTACATGTCTGAAATGGAAATCACGATGGTATTGATGAATTGCTGTAAAGGATGTTGTGTATGTGGTGCTTGTGATGTCTGAAGCTTGCAACATCTGAGGATAGACATTAACCTCTAAATTCTGTGACATTGTCGACATTCATCTTCAACCATTTCTTACGTCACTTACACCACTGATCAACACGTTAGCAGTTTAATTTAGCTTTCATAGCTAATGTGGTTATCTTAACATTCATAATATTCTTGCTTTGCACACAGAGCAAAATATAAGTATGGCAGTATAGAGGTGTCTGGGAGTTCAGTGTATAGTTATATATTATAAATAGCTGCTATGAAACATATACTATCTCAATTTGGTACATAACAGTATATTTTCCCTGCAGTAACTGTGTCTTGGATACTTGTAATCCTGAACAGCATATATTTTGCAAATATATTGTGAAAACAGAAACAGAATAGCACTTAAAGGTGAAAAAAGGGTGACACATTATTGAATGTGGCAGCCATGTTGAAATCTAAGATGGCTGCCACTTGGATGATGGGGAAAACTGGAAACATTGCTTTTTACATTAAATGTAGTGAGTGGTCTAAGAATAGGTATACTGTTGCTAATCTCCAATTTCATTGAACGAAAATACATGAAACAATGGACTAAAACGTTTATGCATAAATGTGGCATGTAAGTGATCCGAATCATTCTGACAATATGCGTGTTGTTTTTATCTTTCTGTTTACATTGGGACCAACTGAAATAGTTAGAAATGAGAAGTACAATCGACGTTGTACGTGAGTTTGCATCAGTCATAGCATCACGCTGACGAAAACTAATATGTGTTGAATGTAGCAAACCATTGGAATACACCTTGCTACGGTACTCTCCTCATGCATGTTCTAAAACTTATGAGCAAGTGTATGCAACGACTAGGCAAACAGATCTCTCACAATATGAGATTGATATTCAGTGTAAAATCTGAAATTGGCTTTGTTTACATTTCAGCGCGGCGTTAGTTTTCACTTCTGACATATTTCGAATGATTCCACCGAGGCACTTGGTATTGGTGACACAAACACCAATTGTCATTTAATTTTGAACTTTATGAGGAATTCAGGGACTCGCATAAGGAATTATAGGTGATGTTATAGGCGTAACATAACCGACAAAGATGTGACGTGATGTTCTAACACTCTACAATATGCCTGGAAGTTAACTTCGGTGTTCATGTTTGCGTATTTCCATAACATTCTCAGCGATTCTATGATCAACGGCGACGAATGATCAAACAACAACAGAAATACCAGTCATCACAATAAAACAAAAGAACAAAATACCCATTACCACTGTACCCCGCGTAAAATCGGTCTAATAAGGTCTAGTGAAGTCATTCGCTTATCAGTTTGGGACCTGTGACGTCATATTGCAAGGAGCGTAAACCATGACGTGCTTATTTTGGACATAGAACTGCTCATAACTGTTCAAAATATGAATTGACATAATGCCAAAAAGAGATTAGTAACTTGTGATATTTAGACTGCTTTGGTTATGAAACAACTTGATGATCACTTTTTATGCAAAAAAAAGTGCAAGACAAAAATGTCCAATTTCGTGTAAACTTGCCCTTAAAGAAAGGCATTGGTGATGCCTTTGCGGCGAGTCACACTGAATAACAAATATACTTACATTTCCTACGATGTCAAGCATGTCTCTCTCCTTCAGCAACCCCTGCTGAAATAGCCGAAGCTTGAAAATCTGACTTCTCCTCGTCAAATGTCGCTCGTGGTTGCCGAATTCTGAAAGGTACAGTGGAATCTTGATCATCCTTGATAATTATCAACATTGTGACATACTACCCATAGGAAAACAAATACGTTTATAAACAAACTGAATATATCAATTTTTGACAACACCATCACTCTCCATTGTGGCCATTCACGTTAAATCTTTACCAAATAATGATCATCGCAAAACTGCTGGTCTTGGTGTAACTTGTGATTACTAAATAGTCCATAATCTTCAAAGCTACATCCATATGGATTAGTCTTTAACTATTTTGAAGATTCAAGATTACAGTTTACTCCAAAAGCATCAAAACAGTTCCATCCCAGTAACCTTACATTAACAATACATTCCAACTAATAATTGCTAAAACACAATGTCATGAACTTACAGTTCAGAACAGTACAGAATCTTAACGAAAACAAACATTTGCCTCTACATCACTCCCTCCTCATCCAACTGACATAGTGTAAATGATATACTGTTCAAAGTCGCTTTAAAACTCAACTCACTCACGGAATGGATGAGAAATAGGCCATGATGAGTTTTACCTGAAGAAATCTCTGGCTTAGCCGTCTGTTTGTGGAAAGGTCCAGGTCTCACAATTTCCTGCAATTATTTCAAATACACACCAAATATATGCACTTAATTATTAATGAACATTGTCTGCAATGCCAACAACCCTTAGATTGGAGTCAACTGCATGCATAGGCTCTACTGCCCTTGACCCTTTCAATATCTGTACATCGTGTGGATTATGTAATGCTACTTAGATTTGTATACATAATCACTATGGGTTAGATCTTGTAAGCTGTGCATCCAAAATCACTATTGTGTAAGATCAATTTTTTATTAGTACCATTATCAGACATATTTACATAATCATTTTTTATAGATACAAATCACTATTTTAACTATTTTAACACTATTTTACATTTATGTAAACAATTGACTACCGTTTACAGGTTTACAGGTGAACAATTGACTACCGTTTCCATGTGTTTATGAGAGGTGCTAACAGGAGTATCCAGGAAACGCTCACCCATTCAGAGGCTTACTGCTGATGTAGAAAGGATTTTGCTACTTTTGTTTACTTCGTGTATATCAATCAATTACCAATGTGTTTCATATTTAACATGAGTGTTTTCATCGTGAATATATGGGAGTTAGCTGCTGGCACATGCATCACGACGGTATATTAGAGAGAAAAAAATGTTCAGCTTTCCAGCTTTCACAGAGGTGAGTTCTATATGTAACTGGATACAACCAAACACCTGCTCTTGAATGTCACGTATATAAAATACACACGTGTTAACGGTTAACCGTTAGCAGTGCACTCATCAGCTGTATCAGCACCTGGCGTCGTTTCTAATTATAGATTGGTTTTGTAGCTTTTTTTATAGCAGAAAGATCTGCTCATGGGGTTCTCAATACTTGGTAACAGACTGACAGACACAAACAGCTTCTCTAATGTTGGTCACCAAATATGAACGCAGACTCGCTTTGATTGCCTCTGGCAGCTCTATGCCGTACAGGGACAGGACATCCTTGTGTAGGTGCAGGTAGTGCATTTTGGTGAGCCACTCATCAGGAAGAACTGTAAGTACAAGGTATCTTACATGACCTAGGCATTCTTGAAATGCATGTGCCATTTTTGATATATTTGTACAATGGAAGAGCGTCTGTACAGCACATGTTGTCAAAGTATTGTGCGATGGCAAAAAACTCCAGAAACGAATATTGCATCAATAAGGATATAAGGACAATAAAATACGAGACACCCCAAATTGTTTCATACTACTCAAAACAACAACATATCTGCGCATAAGTGTAAACATTTCAGTTTCACTCGCACGGCATACCTTAATGATATGATGCTCTTACTATACATATCAGTGACAAATACATTGTAACGAATTCAGCGTAAGATCACGATTTCGTCAATTGCGTTAGAATATGTGTTTCATCAATCATGAAACATCAATGTTTGGGTCCTGTTATTCCCACTCCATAAAAACACCAACCAGCTGTGTTAACAAGTAAGAGATGTATTACGAACTTATGGTTGATGTAACATACCAGAGTACAGTGAATGAAGGTGTTGTTTTTGGAGGTCTCGTTCCTTAAAATAAACAAAGCAATCATTCAAACCATTCATAGTTACACGTCGATTTCACGTTATTCATTATCAAACTATTATCTAACCGTCGGTTATACAATATCTTTATGTACTGAAATAATGTGACAATTAACCATTAGATATAAAGAATGTTATACTGAATATGTATATGTACTTTAAATGAGTCGACATTGGTATAAATGTACCTTCTCTAAGGTCGACAACATCTCCTCTTGTTCTGCCATGTCTGCAAGCCCTGAAGGAGAAGTTCACATATAAACTGAATCAGAGTGAGACGCACTGTTACTGGCATCTGCCACAATGGTATCTCTGAGATTCCACCAACACAACCACAAACTTTGTATATTTTTATAACACAAACACATCTACAGACAATGGGAAGAGACTATGAGGCATGTAATTGCATAAAGTTAAACTGTGTGGCATCTGGTGTCACTATTCAGGTTAGGTTTCCCTCCAAATACCTATATGACCAGGTTACCACAATAGTAACACTGTCACAATAGATGATCGAATCGAAAACTGGAACAAATGTTTTCAGAAATACTTTGTAATATCCCTTTTAAACCCTTATCCATTCATTGATTCACAACACTGTTTTTAGTTCAGAGTGAGTGTATGTATGTTATGTGAATATGCAAATTAGATGTTGATGTATTTCCAGCAACGTTGTCCACATGTCAAGCTACCAACTTACATATTTGAGTCTCTGCAGCTCTCAAGTTCCGTTCTTCATTTGCACTGTTGCCACCTCTCAACGTCTCCTAGAAACAGACATGATTCACAAGTCTGCAAGTTGTTGAACCAACAATATTTACTTTCAAGGATAATTTCCACTTTCAACACTTACAACAATGATCCTACCTTCGACTTTGGTGGCTCTTCAACTAGGCTGTTGTGAGACTCGTCTATATCTGAGGAAAATGTAAACTTTGATATCAAAATGTGACACTATTGCATATACACGGTTATGATATTTAAATTTATGATTACTTTTGGCATCAATGTATTCTTGAACTAGTTCAAAAGAAACTCGTGCTATTTTGAACACACTAAGAGCATTTCTGTTTTTGAATAAACTGACTTACATCACAATACAAGGTGAAATGGAAATACGTCGTGCTCTTGCTGTAAATATGGCACTCGTTTGTTTCTCGTCATATCATCAGTGTTTCATATTTAGTTAGGGAAACATTATTCAATTTTATATTTTACATTTATAACTCCCCACTAGCAAATACCCATGGAGATGCGGGTTACAATTGGTCTTCAGACACCCATATTGTCGAAAGAGGCCATTAATGTGATTGGGCGGTCAGGCTTGCATATGTCAGTGAATCCCATTTGCATAGATCGATGTCCATGATGTTAATCATTGGATGTCTGGTGCAGACTTGATTATTTAGATTACCGCCAAATAGGTATCTGATAAAGGTATCAGAATTTGCAAAGTTGTGCTTTGCGTTGCATGTAAGCTTTAAGAATGTGACCCGTGAAGGTCCGGGTTAGAATTGATCTTCACCAACCCATGCTTGTAAGAGGAGACTAACGGGATCGGGTGGTCAGGCTTGCTGACTGGGTTGACCCATGTCATCGTATCCCAATTGCGTAGCTCGATGTTTTAATGCTGTTGATCCCTCGATTGTCTGTTCCAGACTCGATTATTTACAGACCGCCGCCATATGGATAAAATATTGCTGATAGCGGCGGATGAAAAAACAAAACCAGCAAATGTGTGTACTTTGACCCGCTGAAGAAGTCCTTGACATTCTTCAAGTAAGTGTGAGTTTTGTTTTACGCCGCACTCAGCAATATTCCAGCTATATGGGGGCGGTCTGTAAGTAATCGAGTCTGGAACAGACAATCCAGGGATCAACAGCATGAACATCGAGCTACGCAATTGGGATATGTGTCAACCCAGTCAGCGAGCCTGACCACCCGATCCCGTTAGTGGCCTCTTACAAGCATGGGTTACTGACCCGGACCTTCACGGGTCGCATTCTTAAAGCTTACATGCAGCGCAAAGCACAACTTTTCAGATTCTGTTACCTTTCGGTATGGACTTACAGTAACAAATTATCAAAAATGCAAATTCAACTTATAAAGTTGAAAAATACCGCGATAAAACAAATCCCGCGAAATCTGAGTTCAAACAATTCACTAAATTCACCCCAGCTGGGGTAAAAAGTGTTTTTTAACAGCTGTGCTGCGCTGCACACATAGCGCATACACAGTGAATAGGTTCCGCGGCTTGAACCGGGATGCCCGGATTATAAGGTTGTGAGCAGGAGTAGTCTAATCTTGGTTGTGTACACAAACAACAAATAGTAAATAATCTACACATTACATAAAAGAACTTTGTTAAGGATCTACTCAGCTATGTGTCAACCAGTGAGGCGTTCGAAATTTCAAGACGGAAACCTTCACTGGCAGTGAGTACTCGGAGTAGGCTTTGATGTGAGCTCTTTTTCTAATGATTTGTTGATATTTCAAAGGCGCAAGCCTTTTATATGTTATGACAGTAGATAACCGATTTAACTGTTTACATAATGTCATTTGACTATTTCACCACATGTTCTTCTTACCGAGGCACTTTCTCAGTCCGATAGGTAACAGCAACGTCATTATTTAGCATCGTCAGAATTTCTGACTCTGATATAGATATGCATCTGTCACAGACAAAACTCAATGTCTGTTTTATTGACACCTATCTGTCTGCCTGCCTGTCTGCTAATGACAGTATGCAATATACAACTTCAATCATTGACCACATGCAATTGATAAAACCCCGTATTTCCCGAGACACGATGTGATAACGCATTTATCTAGCCATATGTTTTTACTAAATCAAAAGAAAACAATGCGCATCGAATCGACTTGTTTTTATTTATGTGAGATGCCACGGTTCACAGAATACGGGTCACGGTCATGAGTCAAAGGTCAATCGAAGAGAGTGTTCAGTTTTTTAAAACCCTTTATTTTTTAAACACAATTTTAACATTTTGAATGTTGCAATTTGAAAATATTGCCGGTTGATTCGTTGATGCCATGTTGACAACAGCTGATCGATTGACCACAATGCAGCGCAAGTAATAAAAGGCTTCACAATGCACGCTTTTCTCACTTCGCGTGGTCACCGAGGCGCGGCGGGATAATATGACTTTTGTACTCCCCGATCGCGGATCGTGACGGGTATTGTATCACGGGTATTTTATCACGTGAACCAATCAAAACTCGACATTCTTACATGAGGCTGGATAATTGAACTTAACACCTATCAGGCTATACACAATAAACAAAACACATTGATTTATAGTTCGTGCATCTGAGTTCTGTCTGTCATATTATGTACAGTCTGTTTGAGACAAAATGATACCTATGAATTGCAAACTAACACAAGAACAAATAGACATAACAGAATCAAACCAACGCAGACTGCAACAAAAACAACAGACCAACTCTCGAATGAAATGCATAGTTTGTGTCTCTGAAATAAAAAAAAGTTGTTTGAGAAACTGCCATCATTTATTTGTGCGTTTTCCAAGTTTGTTACAAGGGCGCAGGGGCAACTAAAGGAACAGCGCGAAAAGCGAGATGCACGTGTGTTAACGGGTTCTCAACAAATTTCTGAGCTGGCGAGATGACACGTAGCCAAGCTGCACAGACAGGGTGCTGTATGTACTTAGTAATTGCTTACAAGGTCTGTTGTTTATGTTGCAGTACGCTTGGTTTGATTCGTTCATGTCTATTTGTTTTTTGTGTTAGATTGCAATTCATCGGTATCATTTTGTCTCAAACGGACTGTAATTACACAGACAGGCAGGTGTGATACTTGTACACATGACATGTTATGATGTCTGTTGATTGCAATATGAGCATGTATTTACAAAGCCCAACATCTCTTTACACACACAAAGAGCCTGAGCGTATCGGCAAATGAACCAGCCAATGAAAGACTTCGTTACACTTAAATGCATGCCCACCCGCTCTGACTGGGTTTGGTATCCAGGGTGCTTCGTTTCGAGGGCACTAAACCCAAGTACAACATATTGCACTTTTGAATTGCGATTGTACGCTTATAGTTTTGTTTAGCAATTTCTATTATATATCATGAATAAATGATAAGTGAGTTTTGATATTGTTTGGGTTGCATCTAAGCTTTAACAAACAGTGACAAATGCGTAGCTAGGTGATGGGTTTCTCAGTAGTGAGGTGACGCACATCGGGAGCAGTGGCTATTACCACTGATCTCTGTGAACAGTTTTGATCAAAACATATTGCGCGATCTTTGAGTTATGATCTAGAGTGAGTGAGTTAATATTTAATGTCACGGTTATGATTTAGAAACAAACCGCCACGGGCGGAAGAACATCACTGACTCTTGTTTCACCCGATCACCCAGCCCATGCGATGAATAATACACCAGATATTGAAGACTCACCTTTGGTCCTCTCCATCATATCCTGCAACTAAGAGAAATGTGATCATCGTTAGTATTTGCACTCTTAGGATAATTAGTGATTTCATTAAGAAGTATAGTTCATGAACAATTGGTTTAATATGTAGCATTATTGACTGGTCTTGCTACTTAATATACGAGGTGAGATATTCCAGGAGCGGGATGTTCAATCCAGTACAGCTACCTGTTTCGATATCTCTTCCACTTCCCCTGTCATCGTGTCGTCTCTTTTATTGTCAGCATCTTTAAGAGAAAAAACCTACATGATATCAATAATCATAATATGTCAGCTACACCCTGCATCCAGCCCATGCCAATAATCCTAGTACATCAGCTACATCTTGCACCCAGCCCATGTCAATAATCCTACTTCGTCATTTACACCCTGCCCATGTCAATAATCCTAGTACGTCATCTATACCCTGCCCGTGTCAATAATCTGAGTACATCAGCTACACCTTGTCCATGTCAATAATCCTAGTACGTCATCTATACCCTGCCCATGTAAATAGGCACCCATGAAGGGCCACCTCCTCGTGGTGGGTGCTGGGTAACGCTAAGCGCCCTTCAACCCCCCGTTGTGGACCCGGGGGGATATTTGGTCCACCAACCCGTTTGCCGTGGGTTGCGCCCCTGTGTCGGTGGAGGAAGGTAGTCTGGTGGTTGAGGGCACTGGTTCCAGGAACAGTGTTCCTCTGCCCAACACACCACTTCGGCCCTGACTTCACCTAGACGGGTGGTTGAATGGGCCCGGTTCAACCAATCGGCTGGTCACGCCAAGCCCTGTGTATGGACTATATATATATCTATATGTCATTGCACACATTTGATTTGGAATTGTTTCAGTTTCGGACTTGGCATCATTGTTCATCCAAAACGTATGTTATTATTAACTTTGCCTAGAGTCTTATGCCCAGAAGGCGGTGGCTCATGGGCCAATCTGGTAGATTAGTTATTTCTAACTCTTCTGCTTGAGTATATCATCCGAGTATCCTTGGTGCTGCAAGTCGGAGACCCACTTGTTTTTAGCATTGTCCTTGTGATACTCCGTGGAGGGTGGGGAGCTCGGATGTTGAACCATAATCTATTAGCTATGGCTTACGAAACTCCCCAGAAAAAAAACAAACGTCAGCTTGATACTGATCCTATTGACAACGAACTTAGACTGCCCAATTCAATCGATTACTGGCCACGTTTTCTTGTTCTTGAGACCGAAGATAAGACACCGCTGAAGTTAAACCCATTTGCTGTATCAAAGGGTATCCAAGGCATTGCCGGAGATGTGAAGACTATTAAACGATTACGTTCTGGTGCGCTGTTGATTGAGTGCGGCAAAAGGCACCAGTCAAACAACCTGTTGAAGATTGAAACTTTTGTTGGCATTCCAGTCACTGTCACGGCCCACAAAACACTTAACACAAGCAAAGGAATCGTCAGAGACCGTGATCGGTTGCTGGCTGACATGTCGGAATTAGATATTGTCTCCGAGATGAGAGATCAGGGTGTGAGTATGTTAAGCGTTTTACAACCCGTAAAAATAATGAAACCATAAAAAACCAACACCTATCTGTTTTCCTTTTCCTTACCTACTGCCCCCAAATCGCTGAAGGCAGGATACTGTAACCCCAATGTTGACACTTACATTCCGAATCCCCTTCGGTGCTTCAAGTGCCAAAAGTTCGGTCATGGCGTGAATACTTGCACATTGTCTGTTGTGTGTGCTCACTGCGGTGGAAAGACACACACAACAGAAGATTGTGACAGTGATACAAAAAAATGTACTAACTGCTCAGGGGACCACCCATCATTCTCTAAAGACTGTCCTATTTGGAAAGAGCAAATGGCCATCAACAGAATTAAATTCACCCAAAATATTAGTTTTGCAGATGCAAAGAAGTTGGTCCAAGGCAAAGAACCAACACAAAGCTATGCTTCCATTGCCAGAACGTCAGAAGCAAACTCTACAGTCACCAAATTATCTGCAAGTTGTCAGACCAATTTAACATGGGTTACAACAGATTCTCCTCAAATTATTTCAACTGCCATATCTACTCAGACAGCTGAACCACTTCCTAGTACATCTGAAAGGCAGGGAGGGTCATCTTCAGATCTTAAGTCATCCTCTCAGTCCTGTTCACAGTCTCAATCTTCATCTGATTCTCAAGACATTGTTAAAAGCAAAACTAAACCGAAGCAAAAACACAGTGGCAGAGCCCCAAAAGGGTCGGAAAATAGAATTCAGCTGTACAACAAATATGGATCTCTTGAGGCCATGGACGTATGTGAAAACGTCCATCCTAGGGCACATAGCTTGTCGCCCTCCAAAAAAGTGCGGGGTAGATCCCCAATAAATCCCCCCCCAAAAGATAATGTCTTTGAATAATATTGTACAATGGAACTGCAGAGGACTAAGGAATAATTTGAATGATTTGCAGCTATTAGTCCAGGACTTCACACCATCAGCCATCTGTCTCCAGGAGACATATTTAAAACAGACGGATACATTTGAATTACGTAATTTCAATGCATACCACTCCTTTTCACATCCAGGTGATCGGGCCACTGGAGGATCTTCGATCCTTATCAAACAAAGTGTTATCCACAGTCCTGTTATACTTAATACTGGTCTCCAGGTGGTTGCCGTACGACTGACATTACATGTTGCGTTCACATTATGCTCATTGTACATCTCACCATTTTCGACTCTTCGGAAGACTGCCGGGTTCGATTCCCCACATGGGCACAATATGTTAAGCCCATTTCTGGTGTTCCCCGCCGTGATATTGCTGGAATATTGCTAAAAGCGGCGTAAAACTAAACTCAGTCAGTCAGTCAGTCGGAAGACTGACCTCCAAAATTTATATGACCAACTCCCAAAACCTTGTATCATTATGGGAGATTTAAATGGTCACAACCCGCTCTGGGGTGGTACAACAACTAATGCTAAAGGTAAACTATTAGAAGACTTTTGTTCAGATAATGATGTATGCATATATAATGACGGTTCTAGCACATATTTACATCCTGGCACAGGAACTTATTCAGCCCTTGATTTATCAATTACAGACTCAGACTTATTGAATGAATTTGAGTGGTCAGTCCACGACGACCTGTGTGGAAGTGACCATTTCCCAACAATTCTCAAACCCGTGAATCCATCTGATGTTCCTCCATCATCAAGATGGAACTTTAAGAAGGCTACCTGGCCTTTATATGAAACTTTCTGTGCTGACAAACTCAAACCTGAACTTTTTCATGATCTTCCTGATGCCGTCAAATGTTTTTCAGATGAGCTCAGACACATAGCTGACAAGTGTATCCCCAAATCCTCTGCAGTTCCTCATGTACGTAAACCATGGTTTAACGCTGAATGCAAACAAGCTCGCAAGGCACGGAAGAAAGCTGAACATTATTTCCGTCGCCATCCTATGGTCCACAATTTAAACAAATTTAGATTTTTGAACGCCAAAGCACGGCGTACTTTTAAACAAAATAAACGCCAATCTTGGCGAAACTATGTCTCAAACATCAATTCGCGCACGTCAATATCAAAGGTGTGGAACATGATTCAGAAAATAAAAGGTAAGGGCTCTAAATCTAGCATTAAGCATCTCAAAACTGGAGACGAATTATTAACTGATAAATCTGACTCAGCAAATAAACTTGGAGAAACTTTGGCCAAACATTCTTCCTCATCAAACTACGTACCTGAATTCCAGAAATATCAAAGACAGCAGGAAAAGAAATCTATTAATTTCAATTCAGACAATGGGGAAGACTACAATGAAACCTTTTCGATACATGAGCTTCATACTGCTCTTGACCAAGCTCACGATACTGCTTCAGGAGCTGATGGTATACATTATCAACTCCTGAAACACTTACCTGAATCATGTTTAGAGACGCTCTTATCTATTTTTGATGACATTTGGACATCTGGACAATTTCCGTCGTCGTGGCGCGATGCTATAATTGTGCCCATTGCTAAACCTGGACGTGATCATACAGATCCTTCGACTTATAGGCCAATTTCATTAACTAGCTGTGTTTGCAAGACCATGGTACGCATGATAAATAATCGACTTGTTTGGTACTTGGAAACCAATAACCTCATAACTAATATACAATGTGGTTTCGGTAAAAAACCGTAGTACCATCGATCATTTAGTGCGCTTAGAATCTTTTGTGAAAAATGCCATAATTAATAAACAACATGCAGTGTCTATCTTTTTCGATTTAGAAAAAGCATACAACACAACATGGAAACATGGGATTTTAAAAGATTTACATGACTTTGGATTACGAGGCCGTTTGCCTCAATTTATATCCAACTTTTTAAATAACAGGCAATTTCAAGTCCGAGTGGGTTCAACCCTGTCTGACCATTATAATCAGGGTCAGGGAGTCCCGCAAGGCAGTATTTTGTCTGTAACACTCTTTAGCATCAAGATTAACAGTTTATCCAAGGTTTTAAACGATTCAATTGATGGATCACTTTTTGTGGATGATTTTAATATTTCTTGTCGTGGTAAGAATATGCATACTATTGAACGGCAAATGCAGCTGTGTTTAAATAAAATACATAAATGGTGTCTTGAAAACGGCTTTAAATTTTCTAAATCCAAAACTAATTGTATACATTTTTGTAGAAAATATAAACCGCATAAAGACCCCGGAACTGTTCCTCAATGGCACTCCCATCAAAGTTGTAAAGGAGGCCAAGTTCTTGGGTTTAATTTTTGATTCGCATCTAACTTTTCTTCCCCATATCAAGTCACTAAAAACTAAATGCTTGAAGGCGCTTGACTTGTTGAAAGTCGTTTCCAATTCTAAGTGGGGAGGGGATCAAGCTACCCTCCTACAATTATATCGATCATTGGTACGTTCCAAACTTGATTATGGCTCCATCGTTTATGGTGGAGCCTGCAACAGTAATCTAAAACTTTTAGATTCTGTCCACCACCAAGGTCTAAGACTATGTCTTGGTTCCTTTAGAACTTCACCTGTTGACAGCCTCTACGTCGAGGCTGATGAGCCATCTCTTACACAACGCCGTATAAAATTAACTTTACAGTATATTACAAAACTTTATTCCAATGAGTCAAACCCTGCATATAACTGTGTCTTTAATCCACTATATGAAGATCTGTATAACAAGAAGCCTTCTCTTGTTCCGCCTCTTGGTATAAGAGTGAAACCTTTCCTTTCTGCTGCTGGCATTGAGCTAGAACATATAGCTCCTT